TTGCAGACTCGCTGACAGCATTTTTGTCACCAGCTGTTCATAAGAATATAATCATTTTGGCCGAAGACTTCAATCGGCAATGTCTTGAAACCCGTCTGCCACCTGGCCGGATGATTCTGGTCCATTTCAATACGCCCGGGGATGCGGCTTTCGACCAAGTGTTTTCGAACGTTTCCAAAATGCATTCCACTCGTCAGGCCGTTCCTTTCGGAATGTCGGACCATTTCATTGTCCGTATTATGCAAACGCTTGGCTTAAACGTACGTCACAAAGTCGCAGTGGAAATGCAAGTGTTACATCATTTCAAAAAGGTGCTCTGCCGAGATCTTTGCACGCCAACGAGGAGAAATTTAAGGAATTTCTGTCGTGTTACAATGGGCCTGAGTTATCAAAGAACAAATTTGTTCAACAAGAGCTTGACACTGCTGTGCATAAGGTTACGACTACCTTAACTGACAGTTTTGATGCCTCATGCAAATTTCAGGTGTCAGTCACTGAACGCCGCATTTACTTCAGGACACTGAAACGCCTCCTTCGCCAAAAGAAAACAGCATACAGATCAGGCGACCGCCAGTTGTGTCGAGCCATCTTCACTACGGTTAAGAATTCGATCTCTTAATTAAACGAAACGAAATATACCTGAATCACTACTTCAATGATTCGCATCCAAAGAATCTACGGAAAAACATTAAATCGCTATTTAACAAAATGAAGGCAGTATCGAGGATTCACCTCGAAAAAACATTGACGTAGATTCAAATGATCTCCGCCACAACCTTTTGCGATTGGAGAATGACAGACCACTTCCAGACACTTTTTCTGCTCTGGCGACTGAGGGAGGAAGGAAACTCGCACAATTCATTAATGATGAAGTACATTATCTCGTGGCTTCTCGTCCAGACAGAATATGTCTCCATGTGCTAAAACTTTGTTCAGCTGAACTACGCAACATAATTTGCAATATTTTCAGCTACTGCCTTCACCACTCCCAAACCCGGATATATGGCGAATGGCTGTAAAGGAGAACTTCGATCAAAGACCTTTATACATTCCGACCAATAGTTCTAACTTCAGTCATGCTTAAGTGTCTCGAACACCTCATTCAACCACTAAGAAACCAGATCACTTATGCATTTGATCAATGAAAATTCGCTTATAGAAAAGCACCGAAGACGCCAGTGCTTCCCTAACGAACGAAATTGGGAACGAATTTGACAACGATTAATCTTTTTGTCAATTACGGCACTGTTAATGCTCCTTACAAATGTATTAATTTCGATTATGATACCATAGTCGTAAGCGTTCTGAAGCCGTCTGAGAATTTGGACAGCTACCAAAACGGTATAAGTAATTCCTTCCAATACCCCTACCAGTGAGACAATCTGCATGATGCGTAATACAAAAAGGCCTAGATCTTCAGCCATTCATCATGCACGCTGGAAATATGCGACATACCTGTGATCCAAGTACAACACTATAAGTACTGTGGAGTCACCTTATCGACAGACCTCGCTTAGAATCGTCACATTCGGGAATTAACAATCCGGTGTTGCAGGGCATCATTCCATACGAAAAGACTGAGGAACTTGCATGCACCCAGGAAAGCCAATGAAAACTTCGTTTTTGCACGTTTTCTTCCCCTTTTATGCTGTGGTGCATCCAAAGCTTTCCCTGGGTTATTGGTTTAAAGCCAAAAGGAAATCCCTTAAGAAAATATCAAGGTTCAGTAGTCTGCCTAAAACTGATCTGGAATCGCGTGTTGCTGAAGTAGCACCAGCGCACGGTATTCGGAAGGGAAACAACATCCTTAGCAACTGCGCCTATCCCCTGCACGATGGCCTTGTGCAGGTTTGTAACGCAGCTCGTCCACCAGATCCAGATATGTCAATATCTATGCCAGAACCCAACTTTACGCAGTTAGACAGCATTACTTAACCATGCTCAATGTAAAATGGTACTGTTATTCATTCGCTGTCTGCAACAATAATTAACTGTGATAGTCAAGCACTTTTGTGTATGCTGAAAAATGGAGTTCCTCTGTCACTCCATTAAATCAGTAAACTATTCATTTTTAAAACGAGCATTCCTTTAAAATCGCCAGACAACGGCTTCAGAATGCCATTTTCAGCTGTTCCTGTGCCATGCCAAAGGGATAATCTTCGTGATTCAAACCACGGCGCGACAGTGCCAAGTATACTGTGATCGTGTTAGAGATATTTCGTTGATTTCTGGAAAGCAATCATAGTGTCATGCACAATGGAGCGAAAGTTTTGCATATTTCTGATAATCAGTGACATGAATTCTATGAAACTCAAACTTATAAAGACAAAGCCTTTTCAATTTGCCTCTCAGCAGACTAAACAAGCCCATATTAGCCACTATGCTTATCGCCATCTTTCACTGCTTATTTGACGTTAAATAAGACAGCTAATTAGCACCCAAAACGCTTTGCAATACAAAATATTCGTATTACCTTGTATCCGAACACTTTGGTCAGGTGACGCATATACTTGAAGCTTTCGTCGTAAAGCGGATCCTCGGAACTCGTTTCCAAAACGTATGACAGCAGTTTGCAAAAATACTTTTCGGAGACCGGCTTTAACACTTGTGGTTGCTCCTGGTAGAGATCGAGCAGCTTTTTGTACCGCTCGATAGCTTTCTGAAATTATTCGACGACTCAAGAACCACATCACACCGACAAGGAGCCATTTACCTCGAGGGCACAGGAATCTGCATTTTTACACAGCATTGGCAATCCGTCGACGA